TATTCATAAAGTTTACCCGTATGGAGCAGTTGAACTCATCAATCCGGAAGACAACACAGTGTTTAAAGTGAATGGACAGCGAGTTAAGGTTTTTCATGATTCTGTAGCATTCCCAGAGCATTGCTCTGAGAATTAGGCTTTACCTTAAACGGAGGTGTATTGGGACTTTTTCAAGTCCAAATCTGTTTGTAAATAGTTTCCCTTATTTTCCTTTAATGTTTTTAGAGCTTTTAAGTTTAATAAAGTTTGATTTGGTATAGGCTTTTTGTGGAATCTTTCAGGAGAAGATTGATGTTCTGCCAATGCTACAGCATTCTGGGGCTCACATGTGAAAATTTTCAGTATCCTTGGAAGAAATCAGAAAAGTACACAGTGACCTCATCCATACCTCACCATAGTCTTTTTCAGCCACCTTTTGCAGATTGTGTTCCCCATGCATCCTTAACCCAATCCATCACAATTAATAAAACATACCTCTTGAAAACCCATCTTTAGCATCTTGCTTGCTTTTCAAGTACATGTGATTAGAAAGTTAAGGAAGAAAAAGACTAATTCTCTTCCCCATAAACTTCTCTTCGCCGCCTGCATCATCACTTCGCCCCCCCCCTTTTCTTTTCAAGCTAACTTTTCTAAAACCATTTCCCCAAAAACCACTTATCAAAAACTCATTCAAACCACTTTAGACCCAACTCTCTTTCGATTTCCATCTCTAACTGTCACTCCACACACCCTCCGTATTCTTCGTCTCACGCGACCACAATGCCTCGCCTGAAGAGATCAGCCGCCCGCAAACCTACACAACCGGTCCGGCGAAGTAACCGACGGCGGACTTGCTCCACCGCCACACGAAGAACCGGACCACCTGAGATTGTTGACCTAGTTGCCGACGGGTCATCTTCCTCGTCCCCTGCCATGTCGCCGTCGCCACCACGATCACCWATCGTCACCCCCCTCATCGCCGACCCGTCCCCTCCAAGAACGCGACGCACTCTGCGCCTGCCGCCGTCACCGTCGCCTCCGCCATCGCGTCCACCGTCGCCGTCGCCTGAAGCAGAAAATAGCCCGTCGCCGTCGCCCCCTTCTACACACCCACCATCGCTTCCTCCACCATCTGCTGTTCACCCACCATCACCACCAGCGAGAATGATCGACATCAACCAGCCTCCTCCTTCATCACCAACAGATTCAAGCCCTAATTTGGGTCATGAGGTACTTTCTGATTCAAGATTACATGAACTAGTTGAGGGAATTACGACCTCTGTTTCATCTGAGGATGAGCATTTTATTCCTCCATGCTCTCCCTCCACTGTGTTAAGTCCACAAAAGGTGCTCTTTCTCACTTGGTATAATCACCCTTGCACACGGATGCCCGCTGTTTTGAACGATACCATACCTCACACTGGTGAGGATGAATCGGTAGGGCTTGAGGACATTGTTTTAACTGATCATGAGGCTGAGATAGATCCTGTTTTAGACACTAATGTAGAGGATAATGCAGAGCCTGATTTAGAAGCCGAGGTGCGAAATTTGACCTCAATCCCTACTAAAAAGAGAAAGGGATTGGGACGTATCTTTGCTACGAGGTCAAAGGCCGTACTTGGTCAGCCTTTAAAAAAGAAACCACGGCGTGCACCACCTTCTGTCCAGCCTAAACACTCGGTTTT